CAGACGGATCCTACAAGGCAAGCGGGAGACTCTGATAAGACCAAAGGAAGGAGGACTGCGTAACAATATGGCAGACTTTGATCCGCATTCCCAGCACAAGAGTGAAGATAGGTGAGAATGTCACCGTGGAGTGTGGAGAGTTCTCATGAAAGCCGCTTAAAAGGGCACACCACACTTGATTTAAATAAGGAAGAGAGAAAAATATGATAGTGAAGGCGTGATACGATGATATAGGAGAGGTGAATAGCCAATGACAGAAGGAGAGATACCACAACTGTTTAGCATACATTTGGTCAAAGGATCGGCTTCCTTTGTCTTTTTGACGAGTTGTAGTATGGTGCTAAGAATGGCAAGACTTACTGACGATTCCGACTACGACGCCGGCGAAGCGTTTGGAAATGTACCAAGTTTGGAAACGATCATGCATATAATGGCCTCCTTACTAGGTGCATTCCTCTAAGTCTTCCTACCAATATGATCAAGTTGCGAAAACAATGTCAAACAACTTCTATACAATGAAAGGAAACTGCGAATAGACAAAAGGCCACAACATCTTGGCCTTCATATATTCGAAAGGGGCATTTTGTTGACGAAGATAGAAAAATTCCCGTTGCAGGCAAAGCGTATATAAAAATTACATATTAATACAGGAATATACTAGCCCATCTTCTCATGGGCATAGATTTAGGCACTCATAGAAGCTAAAAACGATTATTGCCGAGATAATAGGAACCTTTAATTGCCTATCTAAAACAGGCATGGAAATTTAATTTATGGCGTTGAATAAATTAATAAAGGAATGCTTTAATGCAAGGAAGTACTGGCATATATATAAAATTGATGACGCCTTTTAGTAGACTATTTTAAATTATCTTTACTGCATATGAATGTAGGTAGTATAAAGATATTATGAAGTGTTTGAGCTTAAAATCAATCATTCATTAGGTTCAGATTTCTTAGGGTGGCGATCGTGCTTGATCCTATTTACGAAATGCACCACTGTAACAGAGGAATTGCAAATATGATAATCTAGACAGCAGAAACTAATAGGTCAGAAGTGGACAAGTTAATAATGCTAGTAAGTGGCAAAGTATCTCTCAACTTGTTCCAGTTTATATTATTAAAATTATCAGCATGACTGAAAATCAGGAATAACGAGTTTTATGTTGTTTTTTATTTGGAAGATTTGTATTATAGGGTATTATAAAATAGAGGAAGGTTTAATTAAGTTCCTTATTTTGATTTATGCTCGCAAATGTGTGAATTTGATGCACGAAAATGGTGCGATGACCACAGCCGTTTCTTAATGTAAATAAATTAGAGTATGTTTGTGTAATATGGACGATTATTTTGGGCTTGTGAATGTATGCGCTCAGTGTATAAATTGTTCATTAGTTAATTAGAATCCAGAGAAACTCCAAGTTAGTCGAGAGATCTCCTCAAAATTTGGTCCTTAGATTTCCCTCTTTCTCGTCATTATTCAATCAAGCAGTGAGATATAATTCTTGCTCACCTTTCAGCAATAGGTTCTTCTATTTAATATATTGTTTACTAAATTAATCTTAATCGACATCATAATCTCCAAATTAACTGTGAATTCTCCCTATTCTTCCAAACGTACGGTCTCATACTACTCTTATTAGAGTTCTGAAGCAATCATATGTTCAGCCCTCACCGATTTATGGACGCAAAATATAGCAAAGGCTTTTGCGCTCGAATAAAGCATCACCTATGGCTCAACATGAGCGGGAGATGTATTATGACATGACCTTACATTTCGATTGAAAAGTTGGTTGGAACGAATTCGTGATGCGGTCTTACCGCAAACCGAAGGATTGCCGTATAAGGAAGACCACTATATTGTGTGGAGAAGTCCTCGGTTAGCCGTCCTGCGACTCAGATGAAACTGTGCTAAGCGTTCGTCTGTACTGTGACAGACATAATCAAAGCAAGAATCCATATTTTACGAAATAGAGCAAAAATATACTAAATCAAGAGAAAAGATGGCGGGCTGCAACCCGAGTCGCTTTTTTACACACCTAACATTGCAATCTCAATGAGGTATCCCATGATTTGTTTGACTACTTCAACCTTACTCGACATGCTTGCAAAAGAATGAAGTTGCTTCCCGAACCAAAAGTGCGTTCTCTTCCTTACACAAATAAACCAGGATACGATCCTCGAATGTTGACTCATGTTTGAGTTTGTGCTATTGTCTAATGTGTATATTTAATGTTCATGTCATGGGAAGTGCGAGTAGCCAGACTCGTTGTTGATCCAACTTCCTCCTCTTATTCAGTGGCTCTTTCTTCTTTCCCTCTCTCTCCCTCTCCTTAAGCCTATCCAGCAGCCGCAAATAATTAATACTCAATTATCTACACTTGTTCGACTTATTCAGGACGTAGGCTGCTTTGATAATTCCTATAGACTCCCTAATCTTACGCTTTGATGTGAAGTCCCCGTGACGAGCAAAATATTTTGTTATGGGCCAATTTGTTGAATGTTCTGTATTAGCCATGTGTTCAAAAAGCTCAGTTTTTTTGACCTATAGATCTCGTAAAGCGGTGTTGTGTTTGCATAGTCTCTTGATAATGGGCCGGAAGGTCTCCTCCACATAGACATTACTACTGAAAAAAGCGTCAATTTTTTCTCATGCTCCACCTTATCAGTAGATCACCCAACTTGTTCGCAAGCTGATAGGAGGGCAAAATCAGGAACCAAGTAGAATTGTCCAATAATCCATATCCTCTTATCTTGTTACTGACAATTGAAATGTAAGTATTTACTAATCCAAATGGTTTTTTTGTAATAAAATGTGCTGATTTCCTGGTATTTGTGGTTTATGTATATTAGATGCAGACTCCTTATTATCATCGATTTCATAACTCTTATTTTATTTCTATATGTATGCTTGAAGAAGAAATGAATACGGAAACGCGCGTGTGTGGGCTTCCTATACACATCCCTGTCCAAAGTATTAGCTTCTTTGCTCACAAATAAATCCATAAAATACCATTCATTTTTATTCTATAACTCCATAGTAATCATAGAATTTGCAACTATTATATTTACTAGCCTAAGGAGTTCACACAAATTATCTTTGCCGTGTTGCCAAACAGCAAAAAATCGTGCATATAACAAATTAATGGCTTGGGAACTAGGAGTGTCTCTTGAAACACACGAGCTTCTATATAAGTTGTGTTCACCTTATTTCGTTTAAGGTAATGAAGGACTGTTGGTTGATTTTCCCACAAATAGATGAGTAAAGCTGATGTCTTCCCATTGAATTACACATAGCCTTGCTTTGCCGAAAGGCGTTCTCATCCTGAGTGGACGTCAGTTTCGACCTCGCATAAGATTTATCAACACCTCAAGCAGGAGTTGAACTAGGACAGTCCGTCGTGTAAGCTCGACACGTTAACCACTACGCCACATTGCAACTCCCGCTTGGAGTGTGGATAAGATCTATGCGAGTTTGAAACTGCAGTCTACCCTGAATGAAAGCACCAGCTCTACTCATATCACTGTGAGAAAATCAACTATAGTCCATCATCACCTTAAACGAAATAGGGTGAACACAACTCATATATCTGATGTTCTGGCAGTTCCTAAAACCTACTCATTTACGATACACGGACTTATAATTGGAGCATGAAGTTATTAGCTAAAATAGAGGCTTAACAAGATCTCATAGCGAAGCCCCGTACTTGCTAACCGCTTACCACGGAAGGCAAAATGTGTATTATTTATTTCCAAATGTATTAAAGTGAGTAAATATTTGACTAACTCTTTACCTGCTAGGATCTCAGGATTCTGATTTAGTGTAAACTCTAAAGCATTTATTGCCTCGCTTATTGTAATAATAGGGCATAGAAACTGCATCAAAACTTACCAAAACTCGCCTTAACTAACTACAATTAAACTGCGATGCTTCAGGCATTACGCTACCTTTATTATTTACACCACTTCGATGTGGCGTACCTCCCTTATGAATTTTGGGCAGACCACACGCGTTTGGGGATCTAGCATCTTGCCGGAGAAGTGAATTTACCTTCCACTTTTCCTATCCTCCGTTGTGCACATAGTTGCATAAAACCCGTAAGTCTGACCATATGGTACCTAGTTATAGACTTATACGTTGTTTTGTCGTCTAATGTATGCAGCATTTTCTCCACATAAGCCGTCCCAACTATAACTAGTGCTGCTGCTCCTTTGCCTGCCCACGATACGAATTCACCACTCGTCTTAGGCTTCCTTATACTAGCACTACCCGTCCTACTCTAATCTAGTGCTGCTACATGGCCATCAATTAGAGGAACATGTACTTCAGGGTTACTCATAGGAACCTCTACGAAAGTACATGCAAAACTTATCAATTTTACCCAAAATTCCCCCTTAAAGTCCTTGAAATTCGAAGGGGCAAAGTTTAAGCCCTTTGACAGGACCTGATCGGAAGAAATTCCCAATGAAATTGTGGACAGATTTACCACTCTTGGCAACGGCCTTCCTTCCATTACACTTTATTAAATATGCATCGTTTTATTGAGCCATTTCTTATCACGTCCTTGGAAGCTGCTAAAAAACTTTATTATACCTGTCCGGTTTCTTTGGAATATAAGGAAGTCTTCTAAATCAAGAGCTACGGATAAGAGTTAACTAAATCTACTAACGTCAAATTAAAGAATTCACCGTAGCAATAGTGTTGGTTCGACCTGTCGAAGCATCAGGGACCTGGTGGAAAGTGCCTATTTGTAATTTCCAGCATCGGACCAGACTTGGTACACTTCATAACGTTTAGCTGACACCATCAGAGGTGCCTTCGGTAGCACTGATTTACAACTTATCAAAGCGAAAAATTAAGTTAATCCCGTTGACCAATTTTCTGTTCAGCCGTCTTGGCATCACTCCTCACCTATTTTATGTTTTCCCTTCTAGTGCCGCATCCTTTTCTCTCAACCTCACTTATATGGCCCATCCGATTATTCGCACAATTTTGTGCTCTAATTTCCTTCAATGTTGCCTGCGAATGTCTCCACAAATAGGTTTAGTGAAGCGCAATCAGTTTTACCACCACTATCAGATGCAGGGCAGATGATGTCCATGTTCATGAAGATCCCAGTGCCTGGGAATCTTCTTATCACTAGCAGCGGGTAGGAAAGAAGGGGAAGGGAAAAATTGTAGGTCAGGAAGCCTGCAAACTGCATCTGGCACCGGTGGTTGAGCTGAGTATGCTTCACTAAACCCACTTGTAGCAATGCACTTTGAGAGCACGAAATTGTGTGAATAAATGGATAGTCCATATAGGTGAGATTGAGAGAAAGAGATATAGCACTAGGTATAACAAAAATAGGGGCGAGGAGTGATGCCACAACGGCTGAGCAGAAAATTGGTCAATGGGATTGCCTTTATTGTCACTTTGATAAGTTTTAACTCTGTGCATACGATGGAGCTTCTCACTGACGATGCCAGCGAAACGTTTTGGAATGTACCGAACCAATGGTCCAATGCTGGAAATCAAGAATACCATGGCAGAGGACACTGGACTAGGTACGTTCCACAAGATCTTATTGGCGCTCCGATAAAGTTGTAAAAATAAGGTAGAACCCAAACCATAAAGCTAAAGGAGACTGTGGCCAAACAGAAGACAACATCATCTTGGTTTTCATATCTACAACTTTGCAGTGTTATCCCTAAGTCTAATATCAACCAAATCATGGCATACGTGCAAAAGACCATCCTTATTCTCACGAGGTAAATTAGGTCTAGGAATAACACAAAACCTGAGCATAATCCTATGGTAATAGCAAACCTTAAAAACACTAATGATAGACTTGACTGACAAACGATCTCTTGGTTTTTGTATACGACGAATTCCGAAAAGAATGAAAACTATGTTCACTAAGATATGAAGAAAACGTCTTCGAACAATACAACAACCTTCACTGCGCGGCATTTGTCATTCAGTTTCCGGTGAAATCGCATCACAAATTCCTCCCAGCCAACTTTTCCTTCAAAATGGAAAGTCATATCACAATATATAAGAAAGGGATTCTTTGAAACCCAATTTTTCTTCTTGTTTGGGAGATGACTAGCTTGTCTGAAAATTAATGTTATCTCTACGACCCACTGAAAGGCATGACAATGGTCGATGTTGACATTTGCTAACCAAACAGCAAACACCACCAATAAAATATAACCACATTGTGTGAAATAACGAGGTTGTGGAGTGGATAAATATTTCAATAACTCCTGCAATTAAAAGCTAGATAATGAGACCTAACAGGCAAACAAAAAATTCGCCTATTCTTGGTAGGAAATCTTTCAAGCCTAAGTGACTAGGAACAGAATAGTGTAACGCAAGACAAGATACAACGGACAACAAGAAGAGAAATAACAACTCCATGACTAAAATGCAATTGTGAATATGACAACAAATCTAAGGGTCTCATGACAGATCAAAATTAATTGATGTCCCGAAAAGAAATATATTTGAGACTTAGCGAGTCGATGACAAGGAGTACTTAATTTACTACTCCTCTCTGAAACAAAGTGAATATCCAAGGCAAAAAGGAAGGCGGGTCTAATAGGACTCGGCATCTTCCATGCCAAAAGTAAATATACATACAAGCTCAACAGCAGAATCAAAACATGGACTTCAAATAGATCTGCAAGCAAATAAGCATCGTCGGGTGTGCTGGCAACAGTCCTATAATAAAAAAATGTTTCTAAATTCGAAATGTAGTGCAAGAATGTTCATCTGGAATCGAGTAAGAGCAGGTATTGGCGAAAGCTCACTGATTCCTTGCTTATAAGCTCGTCCAGAAAACAAGGTTGAAAAGCCATATAAAATGTTTAGGAAATTACAAAATTACAGAGATCTCTTCTAATATACGAAGGGCAGCAAGTTGAATCGGTGTGTTCTTTAAAGGCCGATAATCACATATAAAATCGATTATACAGAACATGTCGGGAATATGTATGTGCATATATGCGCCCAGAAATAATGAAGCAGACTGCCTTTTAAAATAAATAAGCGCATTATCACTGTGCTTTCGCTGAAGATTCGATTATAGTCGAATGTTAAGGAATCTCTTCCAAGGAACTACACTTTGTGAATAGGCGCAGAGAAAGTGGGGACTAATAAAGTACAAGAATATAGTGGATAAATGGTGCACGGTCTAAATTCCGGTCGTTCGTGCGCATAACACAATTAAAACCCAAATAGACCATAAAAGCCTAGAGCTTAACAAAACCACTTCAATTACGAAATTAAGTTCCATTGTTTACATGTATTTACAGGAGAAAATACAGATTAACAGGCGGGCCAACCAAGAATCAGCTTTGAAGAAATAAAGCAATAATCAAGAGATGGCACATGAACTCGACAAATCGTACAAAGACCAAGCCTAATGTAGTTGGCCGTTTATCATAAATGAAAAAGATAAGCAGCTGGACCTGATTCGAGGACGGTAAAAAGGTTTTAAATGAACATCAAAGGAGAATTGAAATAGTTCTGCGCTTTACAGGCTGGTCAGACGGACAAGGAGTGTAAAACGGTGGCGCGGAGTTCCATGAATGGAAAGTGCACGAGTTGGACAACAGCATTAGAAATAGCCTAGGCTTATAAAACATGTTCGTGAGGTCGATTAAAAGTGCCTGGTAGGAACTAAGCTGAGAACTAGTAGGTTTGGGTGTATGAACATTTCTAAGACAGGAAGGACTGCAGATTCCAGTAAAGGGAATAAGCGAAAAGGCACATATGGATCACCTGGCCTGCTCAGTGGGTACAAGAGGTGGCCTTGGAGTAGAGTCTTGAGAGCGACTGGTAGACACAAGCTTGCCTTGACTCTGAACATCGTTCTTAGTACATTTCTTAGATTCAGTCAAAGAGAAGATTGAATCAGCAAGGACCGAAGACACACCATCTGGAATGTTTTCTACCTGAAAATATGATAAGAAACAGTTGTTAATTACCAATTTAAAAAACTTGAAAAAAAACACCCAAAGCGCTTAAATAGCCTCCAATAAAATCTCGTCTTACATACTATAGGAACAAAATAAGAAATCATTTAATAAAAAATAAAGAGCGAAAGAATAGAAGATAATGTCAAATGTGGTTAATAAAAGCTACAAAGAGAATGACGTAAAGAAGTTGTTTGACTTTGTTTTCGCAACTTGGTCATATTGGTAGGAAGACTTAGAGGAACGCACCTAGTTCGGAGTCCATTGTATGCATGATTATTTCCAAAGTCAGACCGTGGACGTGGTACTTTCCCAAACGTTTCGCCAGAATTGTAGTCAGCATCATCAGTGAGTCTCGCCATTCTTAGAACCATAGTACAGCTCATCAAGGAGACAAGTGAAGACCATCCCTTGACCAAAAGTGTGCTAAACAATTGTGTTATCTCCTCTGGGCTATTCACATTCCCTATATCCTCCTATCACGCCATAATTTTCACAATTTTTACCGTGCTTATTTTAATGTAGTGTGGTGTCCTCCTTCGAGCGGAATTCATGAAAATCCTTCACACTCCACACTATCGTTCTCACCCTATTCACCCTTGTGCTGGGAATGTTGGCCAAAGTCTGTCATATTGATACGTAGTCCACCTTCACTTAGTCCTATCAGTCTCCCTCTTGCCCCATAGAATCCGTCTGCTATCTGCCTGGTACACGTAGTTCACTCGACCCCTGCCTCACCATCTGTGCTACTCGAGGCGTTATTCGCCCCGCCCCCCTGCGTCTGGGTGACAGATTCGAGGCTAAAGCTTCTGCATAAGTGTCATAGTCATGCCTTTGCAAGAAGAGACGTGGTCCATAATAATATGAGTAGAGCAGACACTTCTATTGGATTTGACAGCCTTGCTTTCCCAAAAGTGCTCTCATCCAGGTTGGACTGCACTTTCGACCTCACCTAAGTCTTATCAGGAAAATGCAAGGCTATGGAAAACTCCAAGGGAATGTCAGCTCTACTCATAAGTTTGTAAGAAAATTCAACTACCAGTCCTTCATATCCTAAACAAAATAGGGCAAATATATCTCATATAACTGATTTACTGGTAGTCTCGGAACCCTAATCGTATACCAAAAAAAAGTTTATTAAAAGTTCAAGATTTGTTATAGTATAGAAGGCCTACTTTGTCTAAATACAAATACGTAAATTTGAGGGATTATAAAATTTTTCTTAGTGATGATTCTGGAGACATAACCCGAAGGACACTTAAGTCCTTAAATATTATATTTCAGGAATTCAACATTTTGCTAATCCAAAAGGTGCATTATCAACATGCAGTTAAGTTTCAAATACTAGCCTAATTGCCCTTTAAAATGATTAAGTATCTCTAAAATAGTCTCAATAAGTTTGCTCACAAGATTAGTGGTGTTGTCAATTAGAGGAACGAGAGAATGAGGGATATCTTGAAATAAACAAACTAATTCAATCTACAAGTATCAATGAAAAACCGATTCTACCAGCACATTGATTGATAGAGTGGAAGTAGCTTGGTCAAATGAATAGAAAGGCTTTGTTCAGGTAAGCATTCAAGCTTAACCTTGAGCTAATCTTGCCCTCGCATTGGGGAAACCATGATGCGGAGGATAGTGACTAGGTGAGCCAATAACGGATAAAGATGCGTCGGAATACAAAATCATTAAATAGAAGTTGTTTGACCTTGTTTTCGCAACTTGGTCATATTGGTTGGAAGACTTAGAGGAACGCACCATTGTATGCATGATCATTTCCAAAGTCGGACCATGGACGTGGTACATTCCCAGACGTTTTGCCGACATCTTCAGTGAGTCTCGTCATTCGTAGCCCCATATTACGACCCGTCAGAGACAACTGAAACCCATCCTTTGACGAAACTTGTGCTAAACAGTTGTGGTATCTCCCATTTTGCCCTGGGCTATTCACATTTCCTTTATCCTCCTATCATGCCTTCCATCTAACAATTTTTACCATGCTTATTTTTAACGTAGTGTGGTGTGCTCTTTCGAGCGGTATTCATGAAAACCCTTCACACTCCACGTTTTCGTTATCACACCCTTTACCCTTGTGCTGGGAATGTTGACCAGAGTCTGTCATATTGCTACGTAGTCCGTCCTTGGATGATATCAGAGTCTACCTCTTGCTCCGTAGAATCCGTCTTATATCTCCCTGGTGCATGTATTTGACTCGACCTCTACCCCCCATCTGTGCAACTCGAGGCGTAATTCGTCCATCCCCTGCACCTAAGTGATTGATTCAAGACTAAAGCCTCAGAGTAAGTCTCATGGTCATGCCTTTGCTACATGGACCATGTCTCTTGTAAAACCTACTGTCAGCCAACTAGCTCCAATCGCCGCCTCGCCTATCCTGTCTCTATCCCTAATACCAAGTCTATGACTTGCCATGTCCTAATCGCTTGTGTGGCAACCCACAAATGTTGTGGTACTGCTGGCTTTGATTAGGTTCAACGTCTGGGAGTGCACCAAGCCCATGGTCCGACTTTGGGAATGATCATGCATACAATGGACTCCGGACTAGGTGCGTTCCTCTAAGTCTTTCTAGCAATATGACCAAGTTGCGAAAACAAGGCCAATCAACTTCTATACAACGAAAGGAGACTGCGACTACACAAAAAGCCACACCATCTTGGTCTTCATACCTTCACAAAATCATTAAGTTTCCCACAAGCCAATAAGAAACGAGTAATATGAGCCATACACATAATAGATCAAAGCTTAGCAAGGATTTAAGGGATAAAAAATATAAACCATAATTTATCTTTAACTTTAAATTATCAATATGAGTACCGGTGATGTATTTTCGGGCATCTCTTCCTCATCGACCTCATCCTCTTCGTCTGAATAATCAACGAGTCCGATTGGTGGACTTCCAGATTTGACACAATTTTCTAACAGCTGCAATAACAAAAAATTAACCTGTTAGTGAGTTACAAGTTAAATTAGTCATAATTTCAAAATTTAAATCATAGTTCTCAAGACACTCAAGAAAAAAAGAAATATGGCCTACGTTATAATGAACAATAATCTTTTCAAAATAGTGAGTAGGCCACAACTCCAAAATCTAATATTTTAAACATGAAAAGAAGTATATAGAACCTAACTTTTGTTAATGAACAATATCCTATGTGGCATCAGTTACATCGATTT